GTTTATATATAAATATATATATATATATATATATATATATATATATATATATACACACACACACACACACATCAGATACTTAATACTTCTTGTATTGTGACCATTCTTAATTCTTTAGATGAGTACCAATAAAAGGACAGAGAAATCCAAGTCTGTGGATCAAATGGAATACTTAAGAGCAAAAGAAGAGGTAAGTGCACTAGAAATCATTCCTCATTGGAACAGTTTCAGGTATTTTCTAGAGAGATGTTACCTGATGCAGAACTATTGTCAGAATTGGTGCATTACTTGAAAATGATGGTGGGTACATTTAACAGTTGCTATACGGGCATCCTTTAGTACCACTTCTGGAAACCAATTTAATGACTAACTTGTTCATTTTACAGACTACTCCAACTACCCATACTAGCTTTATAACCATCCTATATATAGTTACAATGCTGAATATCTACTTTGATGTTTTTAATGGACTTTATGCATGTTTTTATGCCAATAAATTTGTTTATTATTTGTAATAAAGTATTTTTAATAGATCATTCATGTTTTTAGGATTTTGTGGAGAAATTTGAAGAGGAACTGTGTTGGTGTATAAATCAACTGCAGCTTTCCATTGAATCCAAAAATGTGTCACAAAAACAGGGTAACTATTTGTCAGGTTTTAGTACAGAAATCAGAAAAGTAGGTATATATATATATATAGGGCCAAACTTATGTCAAATTTACAGTAAACATTTAAGTCATTTTTTTTTGGAAAAAAACAACTGAAATATTAAAAATACAAATTTATCTATAATGTTTCAGAATAGCTCAGAATATAGGAAAGTCAATTCAATTTTTGTGTTTTTTTACAAATTAATTATAACAACGCTATAGTGTGATTCATACGTACTAATAAAGCATGAAAATTAAGTGCTCTTTGAGTAAATCATAAGTAGTGCTAAAAGAAATTTCAAAGTTATCTGGCTCAATCTTTTACAAAAAAAAAACGATGTGGGCAGGCTACAATATGATTTAAGTATTAGGGGTTAGATGTTGCTAGAGGTCTGAATTTCAAAGTAATAAGTTTAATAATTAGTTTACATGTATAATTGCAGACTTGAGTCAGTAATTATGAGCACTTGTAAATTCTGCAATGTGATACCCACAAATATTCTTTTTCATCATATCTTTGATATATTTTATTGCTAAAACTTTTAAATATAGAGGGGTTTTGTTCTTTATGCAAAGATAAAAACTAAGAGTCTCCTGTGTTAAGCTAGCAATGGTCCTGGGCGAAGCAGCTATTTACTAAATGTTATATATTCAATTAGAAATGAAATAGAATCATTAGTGTTAAATGAAACTTCTATTGTCTTTGTAAAATAGACATACCTTAAAATGTAATAAATGGAACCAAAGGGTGAGAATTGGCTTAATTTTTTATAAATTAAGTTCAAACTAAGATTTCGTTAATTTAAAGCAGAACATACAGAATTCATTGAAAAATGTCAAATATTTTACTGGAAACAAAAACACCAAATGTGATTCTATGTGCTACTTTGTTTGATATTTCAATAAAAATTATTTCCTAGGGTATTGGATTTATAGTTTGCTAGTTTAATAAATGCATCCTTAACTAAGGTAAAACACAACCTAACATTATAAAAGGACCATGATGAAAAAGTGACACAAATAATTGCATACATTTTTGTGTGTATTCTTGAGTTTGTTACCTTCTTTTTCTTGTTTATTTTTTAAACTATTTTTATTCCAAATAGGTGGGCACTGTACATGTGCTTATGTATCTTTATTTCATTTCTGTTTCAATATTTATTGTCTTTTTTTTTTTTAACTTATTCTGGTATCAGCTAAATAAACATGTATACATGCATATTACATATGTATGCAGGGCTTGTGAGAGAAATTTCTGGCCACTACCACCCCTCCAAGTCTTCTGTTGGCTAAAGTGTTGGTGTAATTTTTCTCCCTCTTTCATAGTTTACTTTTGCAATCTAATCTTAATGTTTTTGCCTATGTCCCTTTTTCACCCCACACTCACCCCTATTATCACCACCACCATCACTAATCTGATCTTCCAACCTTCTTACCATTACTAACATTTCTGTCTCCCTCTCTCTCTATTTCTTTTTCCCACCCATGACAGGCCTTGTGTGTATGAGTGTTTGGTTGGATGTTTGTATGCATTTTTAAGTTTTTTCATCTCTCTATCTTTCATTTTATTATTTCCACATTTTATCTTTTCCATTATATTTTGAATCTGTGCTTTCTTTTGCATGGCCTACCTCTCAGTTCTTTCATTGTATATGAGGTCTGGCATGGCCAGGTGGATATGGCATTTGATTCGCAATCTGAGGGTCATTGATTTGAATCCCCATCCCACCAAACATGCTCGCCCTTTCAGACGTGGAGGCATTATAATGTGACGGTCAGTCCCACTATGTGTTGGTAAAAAGAGTAGCCCAAGAGCTGGCAGTGGGTGATGATGACTAGCTGCCTTCCCTTTAGTCTTACACTGCTAAATTAGTGCAGATAGCCCTCGTGTAGCTTTGTGCGAAATTCAAAACAAACCAAACCATTGTACATGTATGGTCTTCTTCCTGGCTATGTGATGTTTCTCTTCCCTGTAAATAGTAAATAGAATAAACAAATTTTGGCTTTATCCTTTCTGCACCTGAAAAAGAAGAGCTCTAGCTTCTGGTTCACTTTCGATATTTCTACATAAAAGAAACAATATTTATAAGAAAAGGTTTGGTTGTTATAGTTTTACCAGGACCATTACATTATTATTAGTACATTGACTCTTATTAAACTTTTTGGTTATATCTTGAGTAATTCTTCAGTGGCAAGAGCTCATCAATGTACTTGTGATATTTAAGTGTTTTTTTTATATAAGATAATGATTAAGCTAGCATATTTTATTTTTTTATTGTGCTAAGTCTAAGTTTATGTTTTTTTATAGAAAATTAACATCTTATATGTATTTATGAATTTATTATTCCAAGTAGTCTAACACTAGATTCTTTGTTTTATAGTTGAAGACTCCATCAAGATGCTAAAGACACTTCAGAATCCCAAAGCTCCATTAATTAAAAAACGACAAGTAATGAGAGGAGCTTTTGGAGATTACAGACTGAAAATGAAAGAAGATAAGAAAAAGTTTGGATTTGGTATGAATTTTACTCGGTAAAAAAAATAATAAAAAATATATATATATATATTAAGCTAATTGATTAGTTAACTTTGATTAGTTAAAGTGACAAAGTAGGGCTGCTAAAATTACCACTTGTTTAAGGAATGTACACAGAAATATAAAAATAATGTATTCAAGTTCTAAATCTTAACTATTGTTGTTCTCTAGTGGTGCCATTGGCAATAATGAATAGTACATGACAGTAAATGGCTATTAATGATGTAATATTTTTATCTAAGTTTACTTACTTACAGAAGTGCATGGTATTTCTTTAGAAATGTTTTGAGTTTGTGGAATGGTTTGTGAAATGAATTAGTTTGTGTTAAGCCATTTGTATGTGTTTGTGGAACTTGAAGATTAACCTTGCCCATCCTAATAACCCTCTGTTACATGAGAGGATCAATCTACATAAATGAAAATATTACTCTTAAGAATCTATTGATAGCGTACTATTTTGAAGTCTTTGCTTTTCCAGCACTGAGTGTCAGTCATACTATTATTGAACAATAGTGTTTGATGTGAAATGTTGATAGTCGAAAGCCAAAGAAGACGCACCCAACTGATTTTATAGATCCAGTTTATGTAGAAAAGTAATTGCATTTTTTGTACTAAGGAGTTCAAGTACTATAAAAAAAACTGTATAATAAGTAACTAGCTAAAAGTTGAGGCTGTATGAAAATTTAAATTATAATTAAATGTAATCACCTCTGTACTAGTTCGTTAGTTGTCATTTAAAGAAAGGAATGAAAAGAGAAAACATTCTTAGTGGAGTGATTGTTTTTTTTGGGGAAGGTAAAGTAATTCAGTAATTAACAGATAGTTTTAAAATCAACTTGTAGCCTTTTGTGCCAAGTTTAACTAGCTTTATAAGAATGCTC